TATCAGTTCTGGACTTTGAGGGTTTTGAGATATCGCAGAATTCGCTAAGTATGTAGCTAGCGAGCGAGCTAGTAGCGAGTGTTCGCTAGGACTTCGCTAGGCGAGATGGGTAGCGAAGGCTTCCAGTAGCCACTGTCTGCCTTCGCTAGGCGAGCAGCTAGCGAGCTTTTGCTAGGGCTTCGCTAAGCGAAGGAGCCAGCGAGCGTGACAGAAGGGTGGTTTTGTGCTGTTTGGTTTGGTGATTCATTTTGTAGGATCCCTTGAGTTGGGACAGGTGGAGATGTGGTGTTAATAGGTGAAAATATGTTGTATTGAATTTAATTAAATAATTAAATTGATGGGTGAGATGTGTATGAGGTATGGTGAGGCGATCAGGAGGATCGCGTGACTTTAATTAAAACAATGGATTGGTGTGTAATGTATATGTATATGATGTAGGGTGATGTGATCAGGAGGATCGTGTAACTTTAACTAAAATAATTAGTTGGTGAGTAATATGTATGTATGATATTTGATGATGTGATCAGGAGGATCGTGTGCACTTAGTGTGCTTGATGTTTATTGTTGTGCATTTGGTGTCGTGCATATCATGGTGTTTTGGTGGAATGAATCATTGCTTAGGAGGAGTGTATGTGATTCATCCGTACTCCTTGGTGGAGAATTGTGGGGATAGGTCATTGCCAAGTAGGGGTGTATGTGATCTATCCGGGGTTCGATTGAATGAACCAATGAGTCGGTACCGCATGCATGGTGTTGAGTTGCATATTTGCGTTTTTATATGTTGTGATTGATGATGGACAGTAGGTTGTGCTTGGTGAATGTTGGGTGATGAATTGTACGATGTCTACCTTTTGTTTCATGTATCTTTTACCTATAATTTTGATCATGATTTTTCACCCCCTTTGTTGTTGTTGTTGTTGTGGTCTGTGCTTCCTCGGAAGTACAGATAATCCAGGTACTTAGCTAGCTGGATAGTGGTGTGCGAGTTGAGTCTAGGATGCTCTGATACGTAGCACGGGACTTGGGCGTTTTTATGTTATTTAGTTGAACTTGTTTATTTCCTGTGAACGTATCATGTTGGTGAATTTTATTAATGACTATTTTTATGTATTTGGCGGATGTCCGTGAAGAATGAATCAAAATGAATATTTTTCGCTGTTTTATTTTGAAAACCTTTTGATAAGGAATACTGATGAAAATTTAATGTGATATCCCACTGTTGAAGGGAAACTCTGATGTTTACTTGAAATGATTGTATTTTATTTTAATTTGGAAAAGTGGGGTGTTACACACTCCATACTAGGTTTTCCACTGTGGAATACCTATCTTACCCTTTTCAACTTTACAACGTAGAAATAGGAGTCGCCGCACTCCACGTAAGCGCTTCCTTAAGAACGTTTGCATCCCCATTGAAACCTTGACCATCGTCGAGAATTTTCTCTTCCTCCCTTTCGAGGGGAACTACGATTACTATGATTCCATCCCTACCTCAGATACGTAGGCACAAGATGCAAATCTTGGCGAGTAAACTTAGGACTAACCCTTAGGTCTTTTTCTTTTACCTTTAACCCGTAGCATATACCCTTAAGCAAATAATATAACAAAATAACAACATTAAAATAAGAGGTTCCTGTAGAGTACTACAGAAGTTTAGGGTGCTAATACACTTTAAAAGACATTGTAGGCATCCTTGACTAAACACAAAAGGCCTATTAACCAAAATAGTGATAAGGCCTTAATATCTTTCATTAAGTAACCAAAATACCATCCAAAATACATTAAATATCCATCCAAGATACACAGTAGACATCTAAAACATAAAATCATGATCCAAATTACATATTTATAAGTCATTCACCTACCATCATAAAACCAAAAACACCTACACGATCATAGTTCAGAAAAATGTAACACTTTACATTCTAATTGTTTTTTGTTGGTCCCTAAAATGTTGTAGTTCCTCTTATTTATGATACTCTTGTTTGGAGTGTAGGGGGTGTGGTCCTTCTTTGTTTGAAGACTTGTTGTTGGTTGTGTTTGGGATTGTGCTGATTGAGTTTGGGTTCTTCTTGGTGATAGCCTAGTTTAAATTCATGTGGTTAGGATTGTGAATTTGTCTGTTGGGTTTTTCTTGGTGATAATCTTGTTTTAAGTCTAGTAGTAGGTTGTGTTTGGGATGGTGCAGGTTGGGATGGTACAGTTAGGCAGGAGGCTTTGTTGTGGACAAATTTACCACACACTAAGCATTTATTTGGCAGCCTTTTCCTGCTAACAGTTGTTGTATCTTTTCTCTTCTCGTCATCATTTTGTTGCTTCTTCTCTTAGGCCTCCCTGGTTCTCTTCTTGATAGAGGTGGAAGTATGTTGGGGTATGAGCTTTATTCCCATAAGTTGTCACCATTGGTTGGGTAGATGATAAGTCTGTAGTAAGCCTGGTAAGTCTCCTTCCTATACATGGTAGGAATATAATTTGTAGATTCTTTAGCTCTATTTTGGATGCAAGCAATTGTATGGTAGCATGGAATGCCAGTGAGCATCCAACTTCTACAAGAGCACTCTTTCTGCTTGAGGTCAACTGTGAATTTGTCTCCTGTCACATTAATGTGCCTTACTTCATAAATCATCTCACCAACAAGCCTTGTTAACATAAAAAATGCATTGAGTTAGCAAGTATTCTGAGATAAATAAGTGCAATAATTATGAGATTTCAATGAGTGAAATAATTGTTTAAATTACCTAGCCATATATAACCTTGATATTTCAGTTGTCTAAAACTCACTTATAGTCCACAAACTTCTTAAGCATCACAAATGATAGATATTTTTTCTTAGTTCCTTCATCTGAGTAGTCACAACTTGAATCTTCATCAATCTCCAACTCTTCAGATATATAATATGAATCTAACAAACTCATATCTACCACTTTTCCTCAACACCTTTCAAAAAAACCCAAAATCAATTGTATCTTAATCACTAGATGGTTCATTTTCAACAGACATGACTTCTTCCACCTTTTGTTTGAAAGATCTTCCCTTTTTCTTTTTGGAACTTCCCTTGGCTTTTTTTCCTTTGTTCTACCACCCTTCCTTTTTTTTTTTCCTTTACTTGAATCATCCACTTCTAATTCATCCACCTCTTAATTATTCTCACCAGTAACAAATCCTCATACTCCTACCAAAACCTCATCAATTCCATCATTTAATACCCCATCATTAGAGTCATCAAACGATCACCCTAATGCACTATCATCACTTTGTTCATTAAGGTCATCCTCAATAATTTTTTTCATTTTGTTCAGGCATCTCAAGTTATGAGTCAATGCCAGGTATCTCACTCATGGTGTTAGCTTCAGGTATCTTATACAAGGTGTTAGTTTCAGGTATGTCATGTTAGCCCTCAGATATGTCAGTTTCAGGTATATCATATTGGCCCTCAGGTATGTCAGTTTCAGGTATGTCATGTAGGCCCTCATGAATGTGAGTTTTAGGTATGTCATGTTGGCCCTCAGGTATGTCAGTTTCAGGTATGTCATGTTGGCCCCCAGGTATGTCAATTTCAGGTATCTCAGTCTGTTTTTCAGTGGGTTAGATATAAGTTAATAAAGGTTGGACATTAACTACATCTACTACATCTGATTGAGAAATAGGGTGGATTATGTATATGTCTATCTTGCCATGAGTCTTGGACCAATTTAGCAATTCTATTGCATAAAAGTCATTAATTAGTTCCTTTAATGTACCAGCAAAATCATATCACATTTCAAGTACCCTAGGATGCTTCATTTCTTTAACAACACCTAAAATTTCAAAATAACCCCATCTGTCACTATCACACTTCCATTTTGACGCTGTCCCTCCTACATATCTACCCTTATCATTAAATTGTCCCCCATGATAAAAATCAACATAAAAAAATATCCATTTTTGGCAGAAAAGTTGTAAGCTGAAGAAATCAATAAGTGTTATAAAAGACCACATACAAAACCCTAGACCTCAATAAAGCAAAACATTTTCGTAGGGAAAAGGATACTTACCTAAATGTTCAAAGCTTCGTTTCTGAGTTCGTCTCCCTCGAATCCTTCATCTCCCTTTTGAATCTATCATTTTCATTCGCAACAACTCACTTTTGTAGAGTTTGTAAAATTAGGGTTAACTTTAGGAATGCTCAAACTAAAATTAGAGAATTTTATCTGATTAAGTAAATGTTAATTTACAACAATTACATCTCAGCAAAATTATAGTCATCTCAGTAACGTAACAGCTACATAAGCATTGTTAATGATAGTTGTGCGTTTTTGGAATATATTCATAAAAAATGGCCAATGTTGTAGACGTTATACAACTTAAAGGACTGACATGTAGCAAAAAAAATCTAAAGGGCCAATCTGTTACAATTAAATATTCTAAAGTATATATATATATATATATATATATATATATATATATATATATATATATATATATATATATATATATATATATATATATATATATATATATATATATATATATATATATATATATATATATATATATATATATATATATATATATATATATATATATATATATATATATATAATATACCATTTCATTACAAAATGTACCATTTTGGTAATATCAGTCAAATTTGATTATTTTCTAAAATGAAGGAAATTTTTATAAGCTATGCTTTAAAATATATAAATCCTTACATCATATTTGATGCCTTTTTTTCATATAGACAATTGATTTCTCTCTCTCTCTGAATAGAAATAGTAACGAGAAAATTAAGGTTTATCATGTCAATTTGATCTTAATCTTAACAAACACACCCATTAGTTTCTGACTTAGTCACCTTAAAGTTCCACCTCTCGTGGCTCCAAAAAACAAGATCTTTATTTGTTATTTCTCTCCATCATTTTCATTGCATCTGTTAGCTCCCATTTTTCCAATCTCTATTACTCTCCTCCCCTTTCTTTCATTCACATTTCGTAGGGAGCTTCTTCCTCATTGCTGGCAAAATGGTACTTTTTCTAATCCTTCTTTTTCCTTTCACATTAATTACAAGTTGTTATTAGTTATTGCTCTTGTTTTTATGACAATGTTATTCTTACGTACCCTATTGAACAATCTAACTTTGCATGCTATTATTATTATCACCAATTATTAATATTCAACTTTGGATAAAGATGAAACTTGAGAATTTTATCAAATTCGGAGTTGATATTAGTCTTGAAAACCAATGACTAACAGCCATGACATTACCTGCCTCCCCTATAATGAATTTATGATTGCCAAAATGATCATCACATTTATTTTTTTCATCTCTCTCATAGCAATTTATATATATAGTTTTCTGGGGCATTTACTTCCACTATGATTTATTCTTAGCTAACAATGTTATTGGTACGACGTATCTATTTTTAGTTATGTGACACCAACTTTTCTAAATAAAAACATGTTTGATGTTCGACACATGTCAATATTTGACAATAGTACATATTTTACATCTAATATGTCATTGAAATGTCATATCTGGTATCCAAGTTTCATAGACTTTGATTCGGGTCTTTCTGCTCGACCAACATTTTTTCATGTTATTTTCTCAAGTAGGATTTGAGTAAACTCTATTATATGCAAGTATATTACCTCTACATCACTTGATTTAAGTTGCATCCACAACTTAAAGTTTTTGAATCTGTCACTACATCTATGAATATTCTTTAATCTACAAAGGGTATGCGCCTCTCATTGCATGTCCCTTTGACAAACGGGTGTAAAAGGTTGGGAATGCGAATTAGTTATTATGAATAGGAGGTTCATGACATGAGGAAAAACTATGGTGCAGGCAAACGCAGCGTCCGGAATGGCAGTGCATGATGATTGCAAACTGAAGTTCCAAGAGCTTAAAGCGAAGAGGAGTTATCGATTCATTGTGTTCAAAATTGAGCAACAACAAGTCGTGATAGACAAAATAGGGGAACCGACGGAAACCTATGACGATTTTCAGGCCAGTTTGCCAGCTGCTGAGTGTCGTTATGCCGTCTATGATTTTGATTTCACAACTGCAGAGAATTGCCAGAAAAGCAAGATCTACTTCATAGCATGGTATTCCTATGCTATATTAGTGTTTTCTCATTCATCCGAATTCAAACTTGGGTCCTTTAACGCATGAATAAGCTGTTTAATGATATGCAGGTCACCAGAAATTTCAAGGGTGAGGATGAAGATGGTGTATGCAAGTTCCAAGGATAGATTCAAGAGAGAGTTGGATGGCATTCAAGTTGAACTGCAAGCAACTGATCCAAGTGAGATGAGCTTGGACATTGTGAAAGGGCGAGCCCTCTGAGTTGCCCCCTTTTCAACTTAATCTCACCTCTCTCCTTCACTGTTTGTTTCAAGGCTCAGGGGGCCACCTGTTATTGTTTTTTTAGCTTGGATTCAACAAACAACTAATCCAAAAATCTCATGTATTATTGCTATAATGCATAACTATTCCTTAAACTCTGCCAAGTTACTAATGAAACCACTTGGATTTTTTATTTTTTTTTAGTTTCACTTGGAAGAGGATTTCATGTCTCTTCTTTAAAAGTATATATCATACTGCTCAATCTAGTGCATAAAAGGAAAACACATGTCCAATACAATCTTCTATTTAACAATTTCTGCAAGTTCTACAAATAGGCTACTGCTATACAATGAGACCCTTTTTGAGTAATCATTTACAATAGAAATAAAATTGAAGAGGAAAGTTATTACTTGTGTGTATCTATCCTTTAATTGTTAGTTTTGAGTGTGGCTATATTATTACTATTATGATAAAAGTGCAAGTTCAGCCCAAGCCAAAGATGACGATGACTTGAGATCCACGCTTACTGATGTGTCGATTCTGCTCTCCAGCATGCTATATAATTCTCGCATAGATGGACGCGCAGCTGTATCAGGATTGATACATAGAGCTATCACCTCGCATATCACTTTGAGGTCATCGTGTCTAAAATTCTTCAGTTCAGGATTCACCAAATGTGACATTACTTCTGGTTTTTCAAGATAGTCTTTCGCCTGCAGCACATGTATACATTTAACAATTGTGGCGACAGAATAAAAAGTACTCTTACAACGTTGCATAAAACCATTAAATTATAGTTTTAATTTTAAAATATAACCTTGAGGAAGTTTCTTACCCAATCTACCAAATAACCTTTCTCCTTACAGTGTGGAAGCCGCCCACTGATTATCTCTAGAAGAAGTACTCCAAAAGCGTGTACGTTTCCTTTGGTATCAAGATGGCGTGCCTCAAGGGAGTTTGGAAGAACACAAACAGCACCTTGGCTACTAATAGTACCGGAATTCTTTTCTGATCTTTCAAGAATTGTCTTCCAACTTTCAAAATCAACCAACTGCAATTTAGGTTCATGACAATGAGAATCTAAAGCAAACTTTTCAGTTTCCAACAGAACAATCGCATAGTATATATTATAAAAGTAGTCGTTTGTTTCTATATTTCCGCTCATTCTTGACTGACATAAGAAATCAAGCAAAAATTGCAATTGCCGAGTTTTATGATTTAAAGTGAACTAACTAGCGGGCGTACCTTAGGGGAAAATTCTTCTGTAAGGTATACAGCACTAGAATTCAGCTCTGAGATAGTGAACGGAGGTTCAACTTCTGTGTGCAAATACTTGAGTCCACGCGCAATGCCTATGACAATTTTCATACGCCGTGTCCAGGAGAACTGGCATCCTTCTTCATCTACGCAGTCAAAATTGCATGTTGAAGGAACTGAATGGTTGATTAAACATATACATGTACACACTAAGAAACTTGCTTACAACAATGTAAATGCTCGTGAAGTGTCCCATTTGAGGCATAATCAAAAACCAACATCCTTGAAAATGGATTGCTCTCTCTACAATATCCCAGTAGTTTTCCAGTATTCTCGTGATCTAACTTTGCCAATTCTGCCACCTGAATGGAAATGATAATAACATAAACAAATATATAGTAAAAGACTCCGGTAACTATTTTATCAGCGAATTTTAAGTGTGGTAAGCATTGAAATATTCCCATTCACCTCTCTCTGGAAGTAGAGTTCCAGATATCCTGTCCAACTCTCCTCCTTGATGCAGAGAGAAATTACAGCGATCTCAGGCCCACTTTTCATGGTTCCCTTGTAGACTACACTGTCCGGTGAGGACCCAATTATGTTGCTGAAGTCTTCACACGCCTCTTCAAGCTCTTGTCTGCTATACCTTCTCACGTCCTTTAACATATCGGGGTCTGCAATCCAATTATTAAGTTCAAAACAGACTCGAACTGTTCGACATAAATAGAAAGTAGAAAACAGAAACTGAACCTATATATACTGCAGTGTGATCTTTCAGGCTGGAAGATTTTTTCCAAGGAATAATAATAGATGATTTATTGTTGCATCTTTGAACAGTAGCAAGAGCCGCAACCAGAAAGAGAGAACCGACCATAGTTCCTGCTACTATTTCTAGAGCCAAAAGCCAAGTAGGTTCTGAAGCTCCGTGATGCTTCCGTGCATGATCAGCTATTTGGTGGTATTGGTTGCTCGCCACTGGCTGACTCTTGGCAGGTGAAGCACCGCCACATTGTGTGGAAGGCCGCTGCTTTGGATCATTGCTCTGGAGGCAGTTCCCTTGAAAGCTTAACCTATATTGACAAAGTATGTATATATATTTTCTAAGTAAGGTTGAGGAGAAAAATGCTAACATCGAATGAGAACCAGAAATAGCACCTTGGAAGATACTCCAGGCATTTTGGTATGCTACCGACTAAAAAGTTATATGAAAAGTCTGCTAATTTTAACTGAGGTGAACGACACAAGCCAGTTGAATTCTCTCCAGAAACATACCTGTAAAAATTATAAAAACTATGAGAGATAGATTAACAGAATCCAAACTTTGATTGGTGTAATAACTTGACATTGTATACTCAATACCGAACTTGACTATATGATTTTTAGCCACATCATTTTAAGAGACCTCAATCAAAAATCCTATTGCACATTGAAAGGCTGCTAAATACACTGAAAACATGACATTTATCATTACCAAAAAATAAATCACCCTATCCAAATTTCGTCTTTACCCAATATATCTCCTTAACAGTAAATATCATAATGCTAGATCTGGTTAAAGAACACAAATTCTTATGTGAGTTAATCAACTATAAAGAAATGTTTGTAAGTGACATTCAAGGAAAGACTAACAAGCCTTCTCTCAATTATCAGTATAACACAACTCAATTACAAAATTTACACTCACATTCCATGCATAGTTGAAGCAAAAGTATAAGTGCCACTAGCAGGAATGGGTCCTTGAAGCCTGTTCCTATCGAGCCAAAGTTCTTGAAGGTATCTCAAATTTCCAAGCTCAGGAGGTAATCTACCAGTCAACCCGTTGGACTGCAGGTTTCTATAAGAATACATAAAATTGCGTAAGTGAGTAAGCAGGAGAGGAAATAATTTCCAATAAGAACTAGCATATTGAATTTCTTTTACATGTTCACAAGTAGAGTTAAATTTCCAATCTCTGTAGGAATTGGTCCAGTTAAGTGATTCATTCCCAAATCCAACACCTGGAGAGATTTCAACATGCACAATTCTTTCGGTATTGTTCCAATTAGATTGTTCCCGTGCAAAATTCTACAAACACAAGAGCCACAAATTAATATCAACCATGATATCTCCAAATTAAAAAACACGGTAATCACAAAAATTAAACCAACAAAATGAACATACAGTTCTTGCAAATAGGTAATTTGCCCCAACTCCCTCGCAAGAAAACCCTTCAACGATGAACCCGATATATTTCTGCAAAAAAAAAAAACAAATTGTAGTATCAGAAATGCACTAGTTTAGACATACATGTCATCAATTTTTCTACAAGACATTTCATCAAACAGTATAACAGCAATACAATTATCTTACAGCTTGATAACATGATCTCCAGAAATAGTGCAAGTGACACCAAACCAGTTACAAAGATCTGATTCTAGCATATTCCAATTTGATAGAGCTAGATTTGGGTCTTCATAGATAGCTTCTTTAAAGCTTGTAAGTGCCCAAACTAACAACAACAAAAACAACAAAAAAATTCATTAAAAGCTTCATTTTTAATCAATGAATACCATAGCTTAATTTGGTAGAAAACACAAAAAGAATTATTAAGATTTAAAAAGTCCATAAACAGCAAAATCAAATTATAATACACCAATGAAGAAAAAGAAGTGAATAATTGAGATCTGAAAAAGAAAAACACCTTCATTTTCAGGTAGAGTTTCAGAATCCACAAGAGAGAGAGTTGAAATCAAAGAGAGAAACAAAAATGAAGTAAAAAAATTCATCTTTTTGATTTGCCAGTGCTAATTTCACTTCAATTCTAGTAGTATGTAACTAACTAACTAAAGAAAATCCAAAATTGAAACAACAGTTTCCAAGAAATTCATAAAAGGTAGAATTAATTCAAATGAAAGATTGTAAAATTTTGATAAAGAAAGTGAGAAAGAAGAGTTAAAATGGAAGATTCGGAAGAGGAAAGAACCAAAGAAGTTGTGAAGAAAAAAAGACAAATTTTAGGAATTTGAAAGAGAGTTCAGTTTAGCCAACAAATAAGTGTCAAGAATTTATTTTGATTATGCCATTGGCACATAGATTATTGTAAAAAAAAAAAAAAGAAGCATTTTTTAATTTTTATTTTATGTGTATTATTCAACTAATTTACAAAATTGTTTTGTGAATTTGGTGAAACAGGGAATTGACATCCCAACGTTTTTATTTGACAAAATATGAGTCAACACATAATCAATGGGTTCAAGCTTCAATGGATTACTATAACTAATACAAAATTGTTTGTGCAACTTTTAATTACTTTCTTAGTTTTCATGCTAGTAATATTTATTGTATTAGATAATTTCATATTTTGAAAAATTAAATAAATACAATAAAATATTAATAATTTAAAAATGACACATATGATATTAATTAAAAATATATTTAAATAAATAATTAAAGTTATATTAAAAATTAAAAGTGATAGTTATTTTTTAATGTTTTTTTAATAAATCTAAAAAATCTTATAAAATAGTGGGAGTAGTTTTTACTATCTTACCACAATTGATTTCAAGGATTAGTGTATTCATAAATATTGAGGAGCCAACAATATATGGATGAGTGTTTTTCTCATATTCAAGTCAATTAAAACTCTAATAAGACCAAACTCCCTATCAAATTTTGGCTTGTTAATGATTTGGTATCTAGTGTTCCTATATTACTTTCAATAGCAAATAGTATTTTAGGATGTCAAAATTCTTGATTTAATTCATAAATTTAAATTTAAATTTGTGAAAAGGGCGATGATTTTGATTTGAACAGTTACATTGAACTCCTTCGACTGTACAAAATTTTTTAAATGTTTATGGTTAAGATTTTAAGCTTCCATAAATCAAACAACGCTAATAGAGTATCAAGAAAATTAGTTTCACATGTTGCCAATGATAGCAGAAACTTAGGGGACATACCAAAACATGTCACTAACAATTATCAACTTGTCATTCTAACATATAACATAACTATTTAACTCTAAGGACATCATATGCATCATAACACACATTCATAGAGAAGGAAGATATTACGCTGACAAACTTGTCGACATAGGTTTGCCAACAAATGATTTCACTTGGTGTACTAGGATCATACCCCTCAATCACCATTAGGCAACATTTAGTTAGAAATAGGTTAGGTCTGTCTAACTTTCGATTTTGCTAGGTTTTTGATTATCTCTTTTGATTTTCTTGATTAGAGTATTTATTTGGTCTCCTCTTTTTCTCTACGTAACTTGAAAAACTTATTCTTTATCTAACTCAATAGAGAGTTGAAAGTCTATGACCTTGCAGTGGTGAATTCTTGATAGTTTTTTTTCCAGTGGTTTCTTTTATTCTTTGTTGGTGGCTTTGAGCTGAGATCTAGTCTCTTCTTCATGTTGGTGTGATGTTTTTGCTTGGATTTGTTACCTTCGTTTCTTGTGGAGTAGAGATGTATATTGGATTGTTTTGGGACTTTAGATCTTATACTTTTGTTTGTCTTTGTTGAGAATAGTAAGTCAAATGTGAGTTGGAATCTCACATTGGTTTTAAATAGGAGTGTGAAAAAAACTGGTTCACAAGAACCAAATTTAAAAATATGGTGCACTTATTTCAAAAGTGTATATTATTTGGTTTAAAAACTAGTCCAAATTCATTTGACTAAAATCATTAAAAACTTGTGTCCACTTTTTAAAACCATGTTAATCCACTTTTCAAACTCTTTGTCTTGTTTTTGTTTCATGGTCATAAATGACAATTAAGGTAATGTATATGTAATAAATAAAACTTTATATATATATATATATATATATATATATATATATATATATATATATATATATATATATATATATATATATATATATATATATATATATATATATATATATATATATATATATATATATATATATATATATATATATATATATATATATATATATATATATATATATATATATATATATATATATATATATATTGTTTTTTAAGAGAACTTTGTGTTCTCATAGTCTCATAATGATGCATTTAGTCTTTCATCTCACATTTTAAATGTTTATTATTAGATTGAAATTATATGATTACTAAGTTATTTTTGTATGCTTCTTACCTTGAATTAATTTACTTATTAAACTAATATGTTTTTTTTAAGAATTTTTTCTACTAAAGTGATGACGGATGGAGTAATGATAAGTATAAAATAGTATATAGAGAACATTTTCTTGAAAAGGTAAAAAAAATATTAATATAAATAAGAGAAAATTATATGAATGTGAGAGAGATTGAGTATTTTGTAATTACTCAATTTTGATTTTTCTGATTAAAATTTTTATTTATTTTTTTTACGGTTTCTTATCATTTTTTCATAATTATTACTAATTATTTCAATTCATTGTCAATGAATGGTTATTAATTTAAAAAATGGTTGAATGAAGTTAAGAATAAGTTGTTGGATTAAGAATTAAATTTTAGTTGAAAGAAGTTTGAGGAAAATTTAATTTTAAAACTGGTTCAAACAAAAACTGGTTTTTTAGTGCAAACCAATTATTAACCAAACCGATCCAAATATAAACTGGTTTTGAAAAAATAAACCAGTTTTATAAAAGTGGTTTTAAAAACCAAAATGATTCATATATTTGATTCAATTTGGTTTGGTTTTAAAACCATGCACGCCCCTAATTTTAAATGTGAAGACGAACATTTATAAGTGGATGAATTCATAAATCTTAAGATTTTAAATGAATATGTGGTGTCACTCTCACTTATGTAATGTTTTTAGCCAAATATTAATTCAACTCCCCGTAATAACTCAAAATTCTTTTATTCTTACTTTTGTCGTTGTTGTTATATAATACTCTTATAATTACCTAAATTTAATCTTTAATTAGTATACTTTTAAGATTTTTAGATATGTGTATTACATATTAATATATTTTATTGTTAAAATTCAAAAAGAAAAATTGTTATAAAATATTAAAATGACGGTTTTTATTATTCAGCATATAAGTGAATCTTGTATAAATCACATAACTAAAATAAGAATTTAACAATTATGATTTATATTAGATTAAAATTTCCCTTATCCAATTTGATTATTGTAGAGATTTTATCATGAGATTATGATATTTGAAAATTGACAATTTAACAAACTTTTGAATAGAAGAATTTATGGCATTTTCATTATTAACTGAAAAATCATTGTCAACATATAAGTAAAAATAAATTCCATATTCATATTGTTTTTTATTGCTTTACTTTCTTCTGTTTGTCTCGTCTTTTTCCTTCCCTGCTTTTCATGTCACTGGGTTGTTAATATCATCATTTCAAAATAGAATATAGTGCCATTTGGTTAACCTTTTGGCCTGGCTAAATTAATTAAAATAAATTATGACTTTTAATGTATTTGAGTATTTTATTTCATTTATTTTTCTTCCGTGATTACTGGTTGATTTGATGCTTATTTTTATTATTATTATAAATAAAATAAAAACTCTTTTATAATGCTTAAAGGCAGAAAAAACTATTCACATTTTACAGTTGTTTTCCATCAACACCAATAACAAACCCTACTTCACCTTTTTTGTTTTCTATAGTTGTTGCTTTTTGAATATCAAGAGGTCACTAATACCTAATCATGCATCTAAGAGATTAAATTAAATTAAATTTGTTTATTTCATTACTTTCTGTCTTCATGTTTATGTCTGTTGGTGTGAGTGTTTTTCAATAAATAATTTAAGTATTTATTAATATATTAGAGATACTCTCTTTAATCATTTTTTATGGCTTACATAATTAATTTGTTTTCTTATTTTTCTTGCTCTGGAGTGGGGACAAAGTTGGAAGGGTGGGAAGCAGCAAGAGACAAACATGGATATAGTATATGATTGCATATTATTTATTAAGCTATGAAAGGCCTCTCTAACTATGCTTCCAAGCAACACATTCCAAATGTTGGAGTATGTTTAAAGGGAGTAGAAATTTATGATTTTTACTCAATATTGCACAGAAAGTGTAAAAATAAAACTGTCTATTGGAAATCACAAATTATTAAAAAAATTAAAAATAAAAACAGAAAATGATCTACCTCTTCCAAAGATATAAAATTTATGATTTTTTTTAATATCATATGTGTCATTTTTCTACATATTTTGGATTTTATTTAACTAATAGTAATTTCTTCCTAATCAACTATTCATTAAATATTTATATAAAATTATATATATGTTCCATTGAAGAATTAGAATGTTAAAAAAAACACTAAGATGAGATATTGAATCTGTCGGGCAATTTTTCGGTGTGACAGAGTGGAATGATTTGAAAAGTCAGCGAAAGAATAAAAAATGTGAAAATGAGAGTGAAATTGAATATTTGAAATGTCGTGTTTCACCCTTATATGTTAAGAGCAATTGAAACTTTTCACGTGTGATGCGACACGTTGTACAAATATTCGTCTTATTGAGTTAGGCGATGATTGATGTGCTTGAGAGTGGTATTGTCTACTTCAGATCAAATAAAGACCTACCTATTATGCCAGTGTTCCATTCAAGGTTTGTTTTTGGACCTTTTGTTATGGATCATGCGAATGACTTAGAAAAGTTGTCCTCTAAACCCTTATTCTTATTTCGGTATAGTGGGGGCTTTGTCTTGTATATCATTCGGTTGGTTGTTGATGGAAGTATTTAAAAAGTCTTTATGGTACTTTTAGTAACATTCAAAACACATGCATTACGTATGTGTCCATATGTTTGATGGCAATAATGTAG